CCCCCCCCCCCCCCCAGGCTCTTAATGCTACTAAGAGTCCCTTTTGTGCTGAAGTGTTGTTGGTTGGCCATTTTCTTGCTCTTTGTCAGTTATGTGCCATGCAAATGAATTCTTTGATTCTGTATGCTTTTCACCCAGCTCTGGGCATCTTTTGATGAACAGAAGTTACTGGTTCTGCTATAGAATCTGTCCATCTTTTTCCTTGTTTCCCTTTCTTTAGGCTTTGAAAAAATCCACTGAGCACATTTTTTGAAAATATTGTCCACTCATACATACATCTATAGACCTAACTTGGTATTTTTTGTTGTTAGTTTGCTTTTTGAAATAGGGTCCTTGCTATTTACAGCAGGCTGCTTTTGAGCTTGGGGCAATCCTCTTCAGCCTCCTGAGTGCTGGGATTACAGGCCTTTTTTTTTTTTTGATGACACGGTCTCTTGTAGTGTGGGTTGATCTTGAACTTCATATATAGCTGAGGTTTACTTTGGACCCCTGACCCTCCTGTCTCCTCCAAAGTACTAGGTTTACAGGTCTGTGCCACCATGCCCAGCTTTTATAGAAGCAAATATTACCAGTGCTTTGGTATCTTTTGATTCTTTTTTCAAAAAGTAAGTCAAAATGTTTTACAAACAACTAGTAGTACTGAATGTAACTTAGGGTCTCCTGCATAATAGAGAAGAGCTTTGCTACTTAGCTACTTCCCCAGTATGTCATTTCCTACTTAGGTTTATATGCTTTTACATTATTATTTTTGGTGCATCTCATGTATTCCAAACTGCTCCAACTTGCTGTGTAACCAAGGGTAACTTTGAACCTATGACCCTCTTGCCTCTGTGTTCAGATACTAGGATTACAAGTATGTGCCACCAGCTGGTGTTTATCTGTACTCTTAAGCTTTTCCTCTTGCCTATTTTGCTACACTCTATTTCAGATCTCCAAAATAACACTTGTTAAAAAATTTAAAAACACTTGCTGGGTGTGGTGGTACACACCTTTAATCCCAGTACTTGGGAGGCAGGGGCAGGTGGATCTCTGAGCGCTAAAGGCCCTGTCTCAAAAAGACAAAAAAAAAAAAAAAACAAAAAACATTAAAAACACTTAAGGGGCTGGAGAGATGACTCAGTGGTCAAGAGCACTGACTGCTCTTGCAGAGGACCGGGGTTTGATTCCTAGCACCCACATGGTGGCTGGCTACAAACCATCCTTAACTCCAGTTCCAGAGGAGTCCAGAGCCCTCTTCTGACCTCTGCAGCATTGCATGACACAGGTGCACTCACATACATGCAGGCAGTAGACTCATACGCATAAAATAAAAATAATAAAATTTTTTTAAAAAGTAAAAACTTAAAATCATATTGGAACCTTTTTTATTGGGGGTGGGCAGAGTCTCCCTATAGTCTCAGCTGGCCTGGAATTTGAACTTCCTATGTGGATCAGGCTAGCCTGGATTTCAGAGATCAGCCTGCCGCTGCCTCCCAAGTGCTGGGATCAAAGGTGTGTACCACCATGCCCTCCCATACTGGATATCTTAGGTATATCAAGATAATTTCAGTATTCTGGCTTTTCAGCTTGGGATGCAGGAAGAGCCAGTGTATTTTATTACTTGGGTGGGTATGCTGGATCACTTGAGTGTCACCTTGACACATTTGGATTGAGGGAGCCTCAGTTGGTGAATTGCCTCCATTAGACTGGCCTGTGGCCATGTCTGTGGGGCATCTTGATTATTGAGTGATGTGGGAGGGCCCAGCCCACTGTGGGTGGTGCCACCCCTGGGCAGGTGGGTCTGTGTTGTATAAGAAAGCAGGTTGAGCTTGGGCCAGGGAGCAAGCCAGTAAGCAGCATTCCTCCATGGCCTATGCTCCAGCTCCTGCCTCCAGGTTCCTGCCCTGAGTTCCTACCTTGGGCTCCCTGATGAACTGTGACCTAGGAATTGTAAGCCAAATAAACCCTTTCCTCCCCAAGTTGGTATTGGTCAGTGTTTTGTCACAGCAATGGAGTAACAAACTAGAACAAGTGGGGATAAGGTGATTTTGTTCCTTCCCTCCTTTTATTATAAG